GAGCCCCCCCAGCCACTGCCCTCTCCCGCAGGCACCGCCGCAGCCCCCGACTTCTCCTGCTGGAAGCAATGCAGGTCCCGCCAGTTCCAGTGCTCCTGGCCACCCCACGGCCCCGCCGGCAACACCTCCTACCTCCTGACGCTCTGGTGAGTCAGGCACCGTGGCGGCGATGGTTCTGGGGAGCCCATGGGATGCGTCCTGACCGGGACACGTGGGGACACGTGTCCTCCGCATCCCAAGACCACCCAGATCCAACCTTGTGCCCTCTCCCCCTCTCGCAGCTACGCGAAGCCCAGGCTGTGCCAGCGCTTCGAGGTGGGCACGGGGACGACGTACACCCTGAATGATCACCGCGTCTACGTCCTCACCAACGCCACGGCCTGGGTGGAGGCACGCTGGGGGGACCACGTCCACAGGACCCCCAACCTCACGCTGTACCTCGACAAGGCCAGTAAGTGCCCACGGGACTGGGCTGGGTGCCAGCACCGGCACCGATAACCGCGAGACCACCTCATCTTTACAGTCAAGCTGGATCCGCCCCCCACCGGGATGCCCTTCACCAAGACTGGTGGCCAGCTGCAGCTGAGGGTGCCGTGGCCACCGTGCTACCGCAGGGGCCAGCTGCCGCAGTGGGAGGCTCGCTTCCAGAGGAATGGTGACAGCAGCTGGACACAGGTAAAGATGCGGTTTGCCAGAGCCGGCGGTGACCGACGGGGTGGTCCGTAGCATCGCGGCAGCCTGGGGAGCGTGGGGGCTCGGTGACGCCACGGTCCCCCCCCAAACCTGGCCATGTCCCATCTGTTTCGCTGTGTTATTGGCTCTGCCCCGTCCTCCCGACCATGGGATCCTGCTGCCGCCCGTAACAGGATCAGGCCGTGATTCATGGGGATTACACAGGCAAAACCCCAGATTATCCTAATGACGACGACGGATGAAATCTGGACGCTTGTCCCCAGTGAAACCCCCCGCAGCCAGGGACCCCCCACCCCACTCCGTTGCTGCCAGAGGGGTCCCACGGCCGAAGCCATGGTACCCCAGCCAAAGGGGACCCTCCTGGCCACCGTGTCCCCTGCACCCCGTTTGGCTCTCCCAACCCCTGCGACGTTCAGGGGACACAAGGCAGCATCTGCTTTCATGTCCCAGCAACATACTGGTTTTACTGGGCGGGTGCCTCCGTCCCCGGTTCTCTCTGCAGGTGATGTGCGAGATGGTGACGGACAAGAATGACTCAGGTTGGTTTAGCCCACGGGGATGCGGGGGACGAGCATCTCCCAGGGGTGCTCCCAGGTCCCGGTGGTGAGGGTTCTTGCGCCATGCTCCCCTGTGGCCCCTCAGCACCCCGCGATGGCCAAAAGTTGGGGGAAAGGGGGTGTCACCTCCCGCCTGACCCTGCCACCTCGCTCTAGTGACCTGCACCCTGGGGAGGGACGGCACCTTCGAGGTCCAGCTCCGGCACAAGCTCCCCCACTGGAGCAGTTACTGGAGTAACTGGAGCAGCTCCATCTTCATTCCCGATGGTGAGGAAGAGGAGAGGAAGCGGGTGGGATCCCAACGGCTCCCAAAAATGCCAACAGCCTGGTCGGGCTCCTTTCTTTTACAGAAATCCTGGCGAGCCCAGAGCTGAGCTACCAGCTGGGAAAACTGGGGAGAGACGGGCAGCGGGTGCTGAGACTGAGCTGGCAGGTCCGGTGACATCCCTGGGGACCCTCCTGGGTGTCCCGTCCCCCCCTATCATTTCACCCCCCCCGAGCTGCCCCCTTCTCCCTCCCCCAGCGAGCCCCCGAGCAGCAGGGGAATGTCACCTACACGCTGCGCACCCGCATGCCGGCGTGCCGCTGCACCAAACCGGCCATGGAGGACACCGTGGAGCTGGGGACGGAGGTGACGGCGCACAACCTCACCCTCTCCGGGGCTCAGTATGAAATCCTGCTGACGGCGGTCAACGCTGCCGGGCCGGGGCCGGCGCAGCAGGTCTACGTGCCAGCAGAGCAGCGTGCAGGTACCTGCCCTGCGGGAAGGACCGAGCTCCCGGCAGCCTCCAGGGAGTTATTTTCCACCCAGTGGGATGCCGGCCGGCCCTTGCACTCACTGTTTCATCCCAGATTTGGGCTTCAAGGATGTCAGCGTGGCCGGCAGCACCGTGATGGCGCAGTGGGAAGCACCGAGCTCTGGCTTAGTCTACTGCTTTGAGCAGCAGCCGCTGCCGGAAGCCCTGGAACCGGGCGTCTGCATCCGACGGGATTTCCCTGCCAAGAGCATCCACGTGGAGAGAGGCAAGGGAGCAGCGCCCCGAGCCCCCCACTTATCCCCCTCACCAGGGGCAGGATCCTGGCGGGGGTTTAACCGGTATCCCCGGTTCCTTCCCCAGGAGCACTGGAAATACCGGGGTGTTACCGCTTGGCCGTGCACGGCTGGGCCCCGGCGCGGGGCTGGTCC